TGTATCAATTATGTGGTCCTCCTTAGTCATTGTCCGGCTTTTGCATGGATCTAAGGTGACTGAAAGGGCCATGACTTGGGCCAGGTACACCTTGGTCCTCAAAGTCATCTCTCTGCTGTTCAACACTTCACAGAGACTGTGGGGTCGACTTTTCCCAAAGCAGTGTGTTGCTTGAGCTCTTGGTTGCTGTTTCCATCATCCTTGATTGTGGGTCCAAATAAAATGAAATCCTTGACAATCTGAAACTAGTCTCCACTTATCATGTGGTTGCTTATGTGTCTGCTTTGCTTCTCTTAATTTGAGGTGTAATCCATGCTGCAAAACATAGTTTTTGATCTTCATCAGTAAGTGCTTTAAGTCTACTTCAATTTCAGTAAGCAAGGTTGTGTCACCTGATATCACAGGTTGTTCATGAGTCTTCCTCTAATCCTAATGCCACATTTTTTCCATATAGTCCAGCCTCTTGTATTATTTGTTCAGCATTTAAATTGAATAAGTATAGTAAAAGGATACAACATTGACGTGCATCTTTCCTAATTTTAAATCACTTCAAATCTCCATTTTTCTTTTAAAATGGCTGCCTCTTAGTCTTTGAGAAGGTACCCCCCAAAAAATCCAACAGAGAAAAGCTCCGTAGGCAGAGCTTTCGTAGTGTCCACTTTTCCCCACTAAGTGCAATCGAGCAACTCCCTCTGAGTAAGTTCACCCAGTGGTGTCACCTGGGAAGGGCCTCTCTGGTCACAGTGAATTTTTTCATAAAAGCAGTTTCACATGAGCCTCATTTTGGGGGATGGCCAATTTAAGAGAACAGCATGTGGTTGTTCAATTTTGTTTCCTGCCCAGGAAAAATGCCACAGAAACTGTTGTGATGTTGACCACAGCTTACAAGGACAGTGCCATGGGGAAAAAATCAAGTGTACAAGTGGTTTTCTTGTTTAGAAAAGGTGAAATGTTGATTGATGAGAAACCTGATTCTGGCCATCCATCAACTTCCTGAATGGATGAAAATGTTGACTCAGTGCATTTGTAGTTCATTCCACCAAGTCAGGCTGTTAATCAAGCTTTTAATTTATAGATTCTGGGGAAAAAATTGTGTGACAGTATATGACAAAAAAAGGCCTGATTTGTAGAAGATGGGGACTTCTGTCACCACAACAATGCACCTGCTCAGGCAGCCATCTCAATCCACCAGTTTTGAGCAAAAAACAGCTTGCCTCTCTTGCCCCACGTACCTGACTCACCTGACCCCCTCCGTGCTACTTTTTTTTGTTTCTGTGAATGAAGATGGACATAAAAGGTCAAAGATTTGAGGATGTAGAAGAAAAAACAAGGGAGGTGCTGTCAGCCATCCAAACAGATGAGTTTGAATAATGTTCCCAAGAATGGAATCACACATTTGACAAATGTATTAAGTGTAATGGAGAGTACTTTGAAGGCGATAGGTTATTCTGTAAAAATTTTTAAATACCTAGTTTTGAAGAAATCAAGTTTGGTGGGGTGCTCCCTCATATATACAAGTTCTGCATGAGCACAAGTATGTGTTCTAGAATTCTCATTCTTCATAATGTGATCCAGAATTTGCACTGACCCACACAGTCACATGCTTTTGCACAGTCAATAAAACACAGCTAAATCTCTTTCTGGTATTCCATGCTTTCAGCCAAGATCCATTCAACATCAGCAATGCATTCCATATCCTCTTCTAAATCCAGGTTGAATTTCAGGCAGTCGTTTGCCAATGGATTGCTGCAACTGTTTTTAATTAGCCTTAGCACAAATGGACTTGCATATAATAATGATACTGTTAGATAATTTCCACATTAGCCTGGCTAACCTTTTGTTTAATGGGCACAAATATGGATTTTTTTTAATCATTTTACCAGTTGTCTGTCTTCCAAATTTCTTCTACTTCTTTTTCTTCCTCTTTTTTGGCTGTGTAGCTAGGGTGCTTTATTCTCCACATGCTAAGACAGGTTGGCCTTGAACCGATGTCCCCAAATGCACAGAAGCGAATAAAGGGGGTCTCTGAGAAGAAGTGTGATTTGCCTGGATGTGGAAAGGGAGATGGGGAAGATGGCGATGGACATTAAAACCAAGGCTGTGTTCATTCAGTAGTGAACTGGTTCCAGCCTGGAAGGCAGAGTGATGGGGCACTAGCTCTAGGTGCTACTTCCAGGCAGCCAGGCTGATGCCTGCCACTGTCCTTTCCCCTAGCTGTCCAGGTTCTGGATCCCTGGGTATAGAGCTGTGGCTGCTCAATGTTGTAGCTCCCTCCTCCTCTTCCTTTTCCTCTCCAATGGAGGGTCTGGCAAATCCAGGGCCTTGAACGACTCTGGATGTCAGCGATGCCACCTTTTCCATCTCCCACAGGTGCCAGCTCTGTTTTCTTTTGTTCAGCATCTTGGATCAGAGGATGGTAGGAGTAGCTAATTGGGTTTCCCCCATTTCCTCGTGCTCTTCCTCATACCCCTCACCGCTCCAATCCCCAGTGCCTTCTGCGGGGCCCACATGAGACCCTAGATTGTCTTTCTGAACCAGGAAGATGCCTGCTGAGCCCATGGTATCTCCACTTAGACTTACTGCTGACATCCAGTGTAGGAGCTTCTCAGAGTCCCTAGTGCAGCGGTTCTCAAACTGTGGGCCGCAACCCCTTTGGGGGTCGAATGACCCTTTCACGGGGGTTGCCTGATTCATAACAGTAGCAAAATTACAGTTATGAAGTAGCAACAAACATAATTTTATGGTTGGGGGGCGTCACCACAACATGAGAATTCTATTAAAGGGCTGCAGCATTAAGGAGGTTGAGAACCACTGCCCTAGCAGTACCTACACTTTGAATTCCAGTCCAACAGGATGTGTTGAGGCACCCCCAAATGTTCTTGACATAGACAAATGAGCACATCTAGATTCCCCTCTATTTTTAAACCATCTCAACTGATATTTTGTCAACTCCTGGAACCTTGTTTTTCACCAAAGTCTTGACCATATGCTCCTGCCTCCTCAAATGGTTGAATATCAACCAACTCTTTTTGGTACTCTATGTATTTAGTCCTCTATGTATGTCTCAAATCTTTTTGGTACTCTATGAAGAAATGGTATTTGAGATAGTTAAGATTTATTGTGTCAACCTGGCCTATAAACACATATGGGATTAACTGAAGGAAGGAGAGATAAATGGCTCTGTGAGTCTCACCTTTTGAGTTCTCCAGTCTGTTGCTTTCTGATGGTCAGACCAGGGTGCAGCAGCCTTAGCCAGTTCCCTGCTTCAGTTGGCAAGGCTCACTTCCTGCAAGACATCCCTAAGGAAAAGCCATATGGACTTACCCCGATGCAGCCCTGGGTGCTGGAGCAGCCATGTGGAGACCCCTGCCAGCACTGAGAAGCTTACACACTCACTGATTTGGCTTTCCTCCTGCAGTCGGCATCATTGCGTGTGTTTTGTGACATTGAGGAGGACTTCGTAGATTGGTGTTGGACATATGGGCTAATGTTGAACTTATGGGTTTGGACAGCACTGGGTTTGGATGATTTCTGAATGTATACTTGCCCTTTATATAAAACTTTCTCTTATACCTATGAGTTTCTGTGGATTTGTTTCCCTAGTTTACCCAGACTAACACAGTATTCCTTCTATCTTCTTTTGATGCTTCCTACTTCAATATTTTGCCCATGAAATCCTTCAAACCTTGAATTTTCTTCTGTTCTTTTAGCTTGAAAAGTGTGAAGTGTGTTCTTTCTTCCCTTTGATCTTCTAACTCCAGATCTTTGCACATGTCATTCTAATACTTTGTGTTATCTAGCAACCCTTTAAAATCTTCTACTCAGCTCTTTTATGTTGTCATTTCTTCAGTTCCCTTTAATTGCTCTGCATTCAAGGGCAAATTATAGCTGCTCTTTTTCTTACTTTAAAAAAAAATCATTTTATTGGAGCTCCTACAACTCTTATCACAATCCATACATGCATTCATTGTGTCAAGCACATTTGTACATTTGTTGCCACCACCATTCTCAAAACATTTGTTTTCTGCTTGAGCCCTTGCTATCGGCTCCTCATATTTCCCCTCCCTCCCACCTCTCCTCCCTCATGATCCCTTGATAATTTATGAATTATTATTATTTTGTATAACTGCTCTTCTGATAGCCATTTGGTCTTTTTCTTTCCTATTTTGTTTTAATGAACGTGTGCCTCATTCCCCACCATCCATGTGTCTGAGGAGCATGCTGGCTGTCCCAAACCCAAGACAGTTTTTGTTTTCATTCTTGTTACAAGTCCATGGTATATTTCATATTCTTCACTAAAACCACCATTCAAATGCAGTCATTTCCCAGTCTTCCTCATGCATGGTCCAGTTTTCACATGCATATTAGGCCATTGAAAATACCATCCATGGCTTAAGGTCACCTTTATCCTCAAAGTCACATCTTTGTTTTCTCACATGTCAAAGCGGTGCAGCATATTTGCCTGATGAAATGGCACTGTTTGAAAAGCTGAAGGGAGCTGTTTATTATTTGACTTTTGGAGCTAAAAGTAAAGCTTGATTATCTTCAGTTTCTGAATTTAATGTACAAAAAGATTCATACAGTCAATTGTTTCAGTTTTTCCTCTGACTTCCTGCCAACTGGCTACTGCACTCATCATTTCTGGCTTACTTTAGAGCTCAGGAAAAATAAGAAGAAAGAAAATTCAAATCAGTCAATTGTTCAGCTTGTGAACAGCTATAGTGAAAGTCCAGTGGAGGGCAAATTATTGACCACAATCTATTTTCATAAGTATCCACAGGATTCAATTGCCAATTACTTCAGTTCCTTATTGCCCTAGGGTAGGAATTGAAAGTTGGCAACATTTTTGCATCCACGGGAAAGAAAACAACTGTATACTTTAAGTACTATGCTGAGGGGGACGTTTGTATGTCAGTGTCTTAAGATATGTGTTATTAATTTAAATCAATGTTTTTAAATTCTCAGAGTTAATGATATTCTTCCTTTTTCTTCTATTTTAGGCAGCTCCTGGTCAAAGGGGACACACAGGTCCACAGGTATAATGATTTTTTTTTCTGAACTCTAAATGATAAACATTCCATGTCTAAGCATTGAACTAGAATAAAGGCTCTGTAAGAACGTTTCCAAATCTAAAATTTGCTTTTTGATGATATTAGTTATGAAATAAAATCTTGGAAAAGTTTGGACCTTTTCATCAAAGGTGATAAAAATCAATGATCAAAGACAGTACTTGGCTCAATTACAGTTCAATATTACCTTGCTTGGATGTCAAGTGCATGCTTTAGAGACACAGTGGGTGACCTCGCTCTCAGACTCTTGTTCAGCTGACTTTGAAGGCTTTCTCACAATTTGCATAAAATCTCCAAAATCCTAATGCAAATTAAGTATTCTGGATATTTTGTTCAAATGTTAATTATACCAAAAACTATGCCATATACCCTTACTACACACTGGCTTATAATTATTACCTCATTATACATGCTTAGGAGCCCTGGTGGCATAGTGGTTACCCGTTGGGCTGTGATCCCCAAGGTCTGCAGTTCAAAATCAGCAGCTACTCCTTGGGAGAAAGGCTGGGCTTTCTATTCCCATAAGCAGTTAGAGTCTTGGAAACTCACAGAGGCAGGTCTAGCCTGCCCTCTAAGGTCTCTATGAGTTGATATCAACTCAATGGCAGTGAGTTTGGTTTTGATTTTTTTATATCTGCTCAATTAACCTGCAATGACAAAGCAATTGTCACTTTGAATTTTACAAAGTAGGGGAAACACATCCTCCTATTAAAAATGCTTTCAGGGTAAATAATAAATCCATCCTCCATTACATCCTGGCAAAACTCCTGAATTTTAAAGAATTTTAAAGAAAAACACCTCACTACCAGAGAGAAAAGATGGGGTTTTGTCTGTAAATGAATGGAATAATACATTCCAGAAAGCAACAGCATAGTAGCTTTGTGATACAAGGAAAAATAAATGTTAACCGAGAATTCAATACTTCGCTAAACTATCCGTTTGTGTAAAGTAGGTATTTTTTCAGATAGACTAAGACAAAGAGAGTTTACTATACATATACAAGCGCCGAGACGAGACATCAACAAAGAGTAGAGCCAATGGCATACAATAAATGAATGAGATGAGAGAGGTGTTGAAGAATTTCCTCTTTCTGATTTATATGGAAAGTGAGGGACCATTATAGTCAACTACCTACTAAAATATAAACTTAAGCTCACCTAATAGTTGTTTAAATTAAGGTTCTTTGCACATCCCTGCTCTTTTTGGAACTTTTATTGGTCACAGAATGCAATGGCAATGTGAAGAAAATGCTCCACTTTTGATCCCTAGATATTTTGCCTACTTAAATATAAATGTTATACAATGCCTGGAATTTTTGAAGAAAGTGTAAATTAAATTTTAAGATTGTTTTGAAACCAGTACCCAAAAGTTTATACACATTCCTTACTTATTGACATGGTTAGATTCCAAAGACCAGGTTATGATGTGAAAATCAGTACTATGTGAAAATAGAAGATGACCTAAAACAGATTTTTTTTTTTAATGGAGGAGAACTACATCCTTCCATCACTGCCATGTTACATTATTACATGACTACCAAGCCACTGAAAATCGTGGCACAGCTCAGTGGACACATAACTTTAAACATCACAGTATGTGTGTCCACTGAGCTGTGCCATGATTTCATCGTTGTACTTGGTTTTCAAAGTCATATTGTCCTTGAGATTGAAAGTTTATATATATTTGTAATCTTGCCCTTAAAGGAGATGTCCTAATAAATAATGTTAACAAACGCATTCTTTCTCATCCCAGGGAAACCGAGGAGTCCCAGGACCAGATGGACATGAAGGCTCACTGGGAGTCAAGGGGCCTCAGGTACATGTTAAAACTAATAAGAATGTTAGACCACAGAAAGATTTACGTGTTCCCGCTTTCGAGCAGGAAGGCCTAAAACCTTGAAATCAGCCCTCAAAGGCCATTGCAGAATTCCAAGTGTTCAAAATTAATTCAGGGTAATAAAATTAAGAAAGTAGCTCTATCTTGACTTGCATTACGCTGGGTCTTCTTTATCTTTATTACCAGTGCAGAGGTAGAAGCATCAGCACTTTGGCAGCCCGTCCTGTGCATTGGGCTTGGGCTGGTAAGGGTATTCCAAGGAGACCTTGAGCCAAGAGAAATATTCAGCCCCAAATCTGAGAACTGTGGACAATTTAGCACAGCAAGAGCTCAAGGGCTATAGAGTTGGATGACCATGTTGCAGAAAAATGGCTCTATTCTCAGAAGTAATTGTCCCAAATACAGCTGGACTCCAGTGGAGTGATCTATAGTGTGGCATGCAGCCTGCTTTTTCTAGTTCACTTCTCTGGGGAGATGCCTTGAGCACTTTTTCCTTTGCAAAGAGCAAGCCATGCTTGGCTCTTCACCCTGATCACATGAGGAAAAAGGAAGCAAGTGCCAGAGAGGGCAAAATATCGCCTAAAATAATAAAGGAAACGAGAAAGGAGAGCCGAGCAAGTGCTAACATGTGGAAAGGTCAGACCACAAAATGCCAGAACAATTTTTTTCCGCCTCAAATTTTTAACTTTGAGAGCTTGAGAAATAATTGCATTTGGCATCTGCATGACACTCAGCAGTTCTGCTCTTTTTCAAAGTGGTAGTGCGCATAGTTATACAAACATAAAAGTAACTATTCCACGTCGGCAACTTGGTGCATGGAAGGTGCACAAAGTACCCTAAACATCCGAAGAGACACTTGGTCCACATTTGCCAAGATTTCAGAGCAGGAAATAGTCTTTTCTTGGCCATCTAGTGCTTTCTGATTTTATGTTTCTGTTTTTGTTTTTCGTCTCTGCCAATGCTTGCCAGCTAAAGCATGTTGGGCCTGGATTTATAGAGAAGGATTTCAGTGGGTTGGCTGGATTTATTTTGTGTGAAACAACTAACACTACACCATTCTTCTCCCATTCATATCGACCCTTACTCTTTTGCGTGGTATGTTTTAAAGGGAGATGTAAAACCTAATCCCTGCATGAAGGTGGCTTCAAATAACACATGGAAGCCAGAGTTAATAAGCAATATATAATACTCAAGAAGTACTCAGATAAATGTCCAAGCTGTATCTCACCACACACCATATTTTGTTCATGGCCAGTTTTCAAATAGAAATGCCACTTAAATATCCGGATTTCAGATCTACGTAATTCAGGATTGTTTTGTTTTTAATATCAGGAATGTGCATTGGGGATTTTAAAGATGCTTACGATACTTAGATAGCAGAACTGAAAAGCTCGGCTATTCAGTATTTCTTCTAAGCCAAAGTCACTTCAACTGCACCAGCCAACTGCCAGTGTTTCAGATTAAGCCACTATCGCCCCGCCCAGAGAAGAGAGAACTCAACAGATGGAGATCAAATAACAGCAGATAGGAGCTCTCATTCCAGTTCCTGTCCATGCCACTGATTTAGCGTTTCATCCCACATTATCTGTCAAGTATTCTCTTTTAGGGTGGAAATAATGCTTTAATTCTATGTACATAGGGTCCAAGAGGAGATGTTGGTGTGAAAGGAGAAAAGGGAGGTCTTGGAAGTAAAGGTCCTCAGGTATGTGATGAGAGAAATTGCAACGATGTTTGATGTCGGTCTTCTCTGGATGTCTTTGTGGGTTCTTTCCTTTAGATGGAGTTCTTGAATAATGCCGATGGGCCTGCAAAGGTTGGTAGGTCTGCCTTCAGAGCACCAAATTGATGGTGGCCCTCAAATCCTGGTTACCTCCGTGCAAAGCAGGTTGCTGACCTGGCCAACAGAGAAATCATCTCCCACCCACTTTGTTTCAGCTAATCAGCAGCTATTCTGGATTAAGAATGCTCCCTATTTGTAAATCAGATCATGCCACCCAATTGGCCAGGGACTTCCCATGTGGTGCGTATTCTCTGTGGCAAGAATATAGCCAGCTTAAGTGGTCCTGAATGCTAGCTGCACATGAGACCCTCCTATAGAAACCATGGACCCACCAGAGACCCTCCCTCTTACTTCCATTAAATCAATTTGGACTCACAACGACCCTATAGGACAGGGTAGAACTGCCTCTGTGGGTTTTCAAGGCTTTAAACCTTTGTGAAAGCAGAAATTGTCACCTTGCTCCCCTGGGTGTCTGGTGGGTTCAAACTACAGGCCTTGCAGTTAGCAGCCCAACGTGTAACCCACTATCCCACCAGGGCTTCTTCAAATCCTTCCAGACCATTTCAATTAGAATCCCCGGAAGTGGTGCCAGCATACTTAATATTAATGCCCCCCAGGTGATTCCACTGTATACTGTGGCCTGGGAGGGATGGCCTGGCACCAATGGTTCTCCGGCATCAAAATATCTAAAAAGCCCCTGGGATTTTGTTGAAAATGCAAATTCTGGTTGAATAGCTTTGTGATGAAGCCTGAATTCTGCATTTCCACTGAATTCTCAAGTGATGCTGCCGCAGGTAGTCCCAGGACCACACTTGGAGGAGCAAAGCCCTTGCTTACCTGCTCTCATAGGATATAAGCATGGGTTTAGTTGGTTTTCTGTCTTCTCATCTAGATTGTATGCTCCATGAGGGCCAGGATGTTATCTTGTGGATACTGCATGCCCAAAGTTCAAAACAGCAGTGCCTGGTGCACAGGAAACCAGAAACCAAAACCCAAGTCCACTACCAGAAAGTCCATTCTGACACATAGTGGTCCTACATAGGGTTGTCATGGCTGTCAATCTTCATGGGAGCAGATCGCCTCAACTTCCACCTGTGGAGCAGCTGATGGTCTGAACTAACAACCTGGTCATGAGCAATTTAATGTAAGCTTCATAAGTCCAGCCGTGCCACCAGGGGCCCTTTGACCCATAGTACAGCTCAACCAGCAGTAATCTCATCAGTGCATGAAAGGATGAGATGGAGGAAAGGACTTGTGTTCTTGCCGACAGGGGAAAAATGGGAATCCATGGCTTTGTGCCCATTAGTTAAACTGAGCAAGGCCCAACACTTCCACCATCAAAATATTTAAGAAGCATTTGCATATGATTTTATTTTGTGACACTGTATTGCAAAGCATATTAGTTGCTCCTTTTAAAGATTTTAATTCTCCAACTTGATGAATGTGCTTCTTCAAAAAGCGAGGCAATTTGTTTTTTCAATTTCACGATAGAACTTAATGAGTGAGAAGCTACTAATTTGTGGTCCCATCCTGAATCCTTAAAAGTTTGCTGGCACCAAAATTTGGGATTCAGGAAAAATTTGGTAAATGCCAAGGGAAACATACCTTGAGCAATGACTTAATCTGTTTATATATAATATTGAGATGTAGATGGGTTAAAATCCAAAGGTCTTGGTATTTCCCTTGGTCTAGAATCCAATGTCGTATCCAAGTGGCTGTTACTCACATAAGTGATTCCATTTGCCTGGTGGTGCATCTTTATGAGTGAGTCCCCTCTAATCGTGCGTTGGCTGTTTGAGTGTAGTCATTAATTATTCAACCTTCTGGCCTTGCTGGGCTTAGTTAAAAGGCATGTCTTTTCTCAAGTCTGACTCTTCTGTTTATCTAGCTGGAAAGTCTGATTTCCTTTTTTTTTGTTCCTCTTCTTGAAATCCCCTTGTCAACCACACAGTGTAAATGCTGTTTCAAAGATGTGTGGAATTTTTTATCTCCAGAACATGATGAATGGGATCTCACATAGTTGTTTCCAAAGGGAAGCAAACACAATCAGATATATAAGAAGAGAGCATTGCTCTTTACTGGCTCTATAAATCCATTGCCACCGGCTTCAGTGTTTTACAGCGCATCGGGGTTAGTTACTTGAGAGGAATAAGAAGAGTCTTTGAAAGTTTTTCTTAAGCTCTGCATTTAGGAAAAGGGTTGTGATGTCTGCGAACAGTGTTTTGAGAGCTTATTAACGTGTGCAGTGTTAGGCACTGCATAAATCAAACATGTGGCAATACAGCTATCCTATGAAAGAAGTGCAGCCCGTGCACAATAACAAGGAGGGAATGTCCTTGGAAGAAATGCTGTTTGCGTGTTTGTTTGTTTTTTCTGCTTTGTTTTGTTCCCTTCCTGTTTTAACTCAAGGTTCTACCCCAACATATATGCTGTTGGCATCGGTTTGCTAGTATTTTGTTGAAGTTTTTGCAACTACATTCATAAGGATATTGGTCTGGGGGGGTGGTGTGCGCACGCACGCACAGACACATGTATAAGATATGTCTTTGCCTGGCACTGGTAGCAAGTTAATTCTAGCCTCTTGGAGTGAATTAGGAAGTGTTTCCTTTTCATCTGTATTTTGGAAGCGCTTGGAAAGGGTTGATTTAATTCATTTGGTAGAATGCATCAATGGAGCCGTAATTACTGATGCAATCTCTGTATTTGGTATATGTTTGTTTAGAGTGTGTATTTCTTTTTTGAGCTGCCTTAGGTAATTTGCACGTTCCGAGGAATTTTCCCATTTCATCTAGGCGACCTCATTTCATGATGGGCCCTGGGCTCATACAGTCAATCTTAGACTTAAAAACAAAGCTTCTGTGAGGTCAGTAGTAATTGACACATTTCTGATTTTAGTTATTTGCATTCGTGGCACTCTGTTAGAAGTTAGTCATTTTTATTGGCCTTTTCAAAGAACCAGCTTCTGGTCTTGTGGTTGATTCGCTCTACTTTTTTTTATGTTTTCTATTTCACGTGAATTCTCTCTAATCTTTACTACGAGTTCTCTCCTTCTGCTGGATTTGGGTTTATGTTTGTCTTCTTTGTTTGGTTCCTAAAGACAGAATGTTAGATTATTGATTTGGGGGCTTTTATTTTTTAATATACTCATTTACAGGTATAAAGTTCTCACTGAGCACTACCTTCACTCTATCCTTTACATTTTAATATGTTGTACTTCCATATTCATTCATCCTATAGTATTTTTTCAATTTGCCTTGATTTCTTTTCTGACCCATTGAATCTTTCTCTTCTACCATACTTAGTTGCTTTTTCCCTGATTCAGCATTCATTTGCTTACTGCTAACTTTTACGGTTTACAAGTTCCAACAAAGTTGGTTCTAACAGTTCCTGCTGATTTGTGTGGGAGGACCGGGTCTTGGACTTGCCCAAACCACCATTTGCCAATGTTACTCTCTGATGACAGGTGATAGCAATGGGCATGGGGAAATAATAGCATATGCGGGGGTTGGAGCTGACTGGTTTTGAAATGTGACCTAGATGAAAAGGTCTAGGATGATTCTCAGGCATCTAGTTTGAATTTCAGGGCTAAATGGTAGTAAAATTCCTTTAGAAATGGAATACTGTGCTAGGAACATGTGACTTAAGGCAATTTTAAAATAATAAATTCCCATGAGATATCTAATAAGCATTTTAATCATTTAATCATTGGAATGAGTCTGACACTCAACGAAGTGCTTTGGACTAAACCCAAACCCACCACCATTTCATCTATTTCAACTCACGGTGACGTAGGACAGAGTTGAGCGGCTTCATAAAGTGTCCAAGTCTGTCAGGGTTTATAGAAACAGATAACTTCATCTTTCTTCCATGGGGCCGCTGGTATGGCCCCTCTGCTGAGCTCTTAGCAGTTGAGTGCCTCAAAATAAATAACTATGAAATTCCTCTCAAATACAAAGAGAAAAAGAGTCCAAAAGAAGAAAGAAGAGTCTTGGGAGATTGCCACTAGGAGATCAGAGAGCTAGTAGGAAGACTATGGTGACTTGGTGCTACAAAAGTTATCAGAAACGTTCCAATAAGTATCTCATCAAAGACCAGTATGATAAGACAGAGCAATGCCGACTTGATTGAACATGATGGTCATTGGGACTATCTCCATGCCAGTTAGAGGTGAAATGAGAAGGAAATAGGAAAAAATGCTATGAAAGTGAAATTTACATTTTTCCTTGAACATAAAAAAGAGTAAAGGGGAGGGAGACATCAGACAGTGTAAGACATGACAAAATAATAATAATTTATAAATGATCAAGGATTCATGAGGGAGGGGGGAGCGGCGAAGGGGGGGGAATGAGGAGCTGATGCCAAAGGATTAAGTGGAGAGCAAATATTTTGAGAATGATGAGGGCAACGAATGTACAAATGTGCTTTACACAATGGATGTATGTATGGATTGTGATAAGAGTTGTATGAGCCCCCAATAACATGATTTTTTTTTAAAGGGGCAAAAGGGAAAAATAATGAGGGATTGTGTAGAGATCATTATCACCGTCCTTAGTAACCGAGTTATTATTCCACAACCCTTTCTTTTAGGAGATGTTTTGTATCCAACTTATTATGGTTTGTTTGTTTAATTCTTAAGACCAAAAGATTAATGTCACAAGTTTATTTTCCGGTGCTGCACGGCATGCTTATTACTGAGAGTTGGCTGATTTACTTTTAAGTTATAGCAACCAAGGCAAAAATGTTTGTGAAAATGAACTCAATTCATTGGTGCTGAAATTGATTGCAATTACCTATAAACAGTTCAACCCAAAGAGATTTTTGCTACCATCTGTCTGGATACCACAAAGGAAAAATCTGATCCCAAGTGTTAATAACAGAGGCAGGAGTTGTGCTTCTCTGAATTTAGATTTTTAAAATAGTTAGCTCTCAGGATGTTCTAATGAAGCATGTTTTCTAGAATGTTAGAAGGACTAGGTTGTATTATATCTAACATATTTTCCACGCAAATACATAGTATATTTATCCACTGATGGGGATTTATTTGCGTTTACTTTTTCTAGCTTATTACTAAGTGACTTTTTTTTAATTTGAATATTTAACTTGTACCACCTTAACAAATTTCCTTATGAATACCTACTGCTTTTAGTAAAATTTTTGAGCTTTCTCATAGATGATAGGCTTTTAAAAATCTATGGGAAATTTTCATTACCTTCTATAAAACGTTTCTATAAAGCTTCCGAAGCCCCCTCAAACAGATCATATTATTTGAAAACAAAAAATAATCTTACTTGACAAAAATGGTTCCTACCAAAGTAGGAGACCAGTAAAGAATAAAGTCCAAGGCCAGCGCTGGTTAGGATTCCTTCCTTAACGAGTCTACATTTAATGGACGGCTGCCCGACCAGCAAAACAGTGGGAACCTGAAATCTCTTTGGAAGAGAAGACTCACAAGGACACACCAGCATTTACAAAACATCCGGAATGCGTTACCGCATGACTCTTCTTCTCTTGCCTAGCCTTTCGATGGTAGCTGAAACACTTTTCCAGGGCAGAAATCAGAACAGCCATGACCCTTTCTCCGTCTGTAGCTCATTTTCTTCTGAGAAAAAGATACAAAGGGGTCTAAGAAAAGTTGTTTCACGTTCTCCTCTATTTGCCCTTTTGTTTTGTTTCAGGGACCTGCTGGACCCGGAGGAAAGGAGGGGAGTCAAGGCCACTTGGGAAGCCGAGGAAATAAAGTAGGTCACATTCGTTACAGCCACCACGGCTGAGGTTTTCTGCTGAAAGAAGTGCATCTGGTGCTGTTTGCCAGAGTCCTTTCAACACAAGGGCGAGCACATCTCATGGCCCGACACCATGACTGGGTTCACAGAGGGCCAGCGGGTGTGGACCAGCATGAAGTCAGGCGTTCCTGACCGGCTCAATCTCACGAGGGCCTTCATCCAATCTGAAGCAAGAAGCTTCAGGGAAAGGGGATGCTTCTGGGGCAACCCTTCTTCCTTTTCTCTGTTCTTTCCTTCCTTTCTCCTTGCTCCCGTTCTCCCCGCCCTTTGCTTGTCTTTGCTTTCTTCGTTGCCTCCGTTCACACAGACCTTTGTTTAGCACCTTGTAAGAGCAAAGTCCTGCGTGGTGTTAGGCTGCAATGTCCCCCACCCCCAGGAGGCCAGGGAGCTTGGTCTTCGTTGTTCCTAAGCCTCCCTGGTGCTTTGAACAGGGTGTGGCCCATGGTAGGAGCTTAGTAAATATCTGGCAAATGAATGCGTTTCTGGGATGTGATGTTAAATCCCCAGTCAAGAAATCGAACAACACCTTGTATTGGGTAAATCAGCTGCAAAATCCCGTTAAAATGTCACGTCATGGACTCAGGTGTGCCTGACCCACACCGCTGGGTATTTGCAATTGCCTCGTGCACATTCGAAAGCTGGAGGACAGGAGAGAAATTGACACGTCTGAGTGATGGTGTCGGTGCGAGCTACGGAATAGACCGCGGCTGCCGGGAGAACGCACGAGGAAAACGAGGCTGCTTTGGAAGAAGAACGGAAGAATTGCCAGAATACGCCTTGCTAGGAGAAGTGAGGCTGGCAAGACCGGATGTCCTGTGGGCATCCTGCCAGGAGCGAACGTCTCTGAAGAAGGACATCGTGCTTGGTGAAACAGAGGGTCTGCCAAAACAGAGGGAGCTTCGCAGTGAGATGATGTCACTGTGGCTGGAACCTTGGACTGAAACATGACAAGGGTGACACACGGGGCAGTGTTTCTTTCTCTTGTACATGGGGTCCCCGTGAGTGGCAACCAACTCAATACCACCTAAGAAAATGAGTCTAATATTAACGATGACATGGATTCAACTCCGACAGAAGCTGGAAAATGTTAAAGACTATAATCAATGGTAAAAAGTAGACTGCACAATGGGCCTGAAAAGGTGGTTTACATCGTTGACTGGGGCATGGGGGGGGGG